GGTAAGGACACATTCCCTACCCTTAAAATATATAACAAAATAATGTATTCAATAGAAAAGGAAATAGCTGACTTGGTTATATCCAAAGGTAACCTATAAAGCTCACCAATGAGCATTGTATATGTTGGATATAGAGTCCTGCCAGTGGCCAAAAGATGTTTGTATAGAATATTATCCACACAATGTAGAAAAGGATGTGAGTTTACAGTTAATGGGATTCAAAGGGAGTAAACTGTGAACTATTCTTAACCTTACCCCCTTTTGTTTATTCAATATTGTGATATAGCCTTTGCAGCAGCGCTTCTCTGCATGAAATTGAATGGACAATATGAATGTGGTGATGTCCAAAGACACTCTGGAAACAAACAAGGGGATGGCGTGTCTGCTGAACTATCCATCCATCCATCATCAAACCGCTTATCCTGCACACAGGGAGTGTGTGCAGGATAAGCACACTCCCTGTGTGGAGTCTATCCCAGCCAACTTCAGGCGAGAGACACCTACGGGCAATTTAGAGTCCCCAATTAACCTGATCCCCAAAGCATGTCTTTAAACTGTGGGAGAAGAGAACCCGGAAAGAACCCACGCAGATATGGGGAGAACATGCAGACTCCACACAGAAAGGCCACTGGGCGGAGTGGAACCAGGACCTTCTTGCTGTGAGGCGACAGTGCTAACCACCACGCCACCGTGCCGTCTGTCGAACTACTGTATTCAAAATGAAAATAAGTGGATGAAAAGTATTTTGGGGTTGTAATATATTTTTGACTCACTTTTTTTGTTTGAATAAAATATTGTTTTTCATTCTTTGCTTATATATTTTTTGATATTTGCTGTATTATATTTGACAATACTTCACAGATGAGTCTTATACGGGCTCCAGTGAATGCCACCCCCAACACAAGCAGTATATTAAGACATGAGCCCCAGGATCACACCACCATAAAGACTTTCTCACTGCTCAGACTCCCCTCATCGAAGGCTTTACAGAAGTGCATTAGACTCACAGTTTTATCCCAGGGAATGGATTCTATATTTAAAGTTTACAGCCTGTAGGGATTTTATCCAAGGTCAGTAGTAGATTACCTATTTGGCTCATTGACTCGTGCGCTCTGTTAGATTCCCTTTTTTAATGTGCATCTGTGATTGATTTAGCCGATGTCTTTCTATGCTCGTGCAGACCCTAACTGATGCATGCAGGGAGCAATAGGTATGTAGCAGTGGCCCTTGTGCTGAATGTGCGATCGATGCAAAGACTCCCCTCGCAATAATTACCTCATCCAGGAGCAAGGGAATGCCTGAGGCTGAGTGTGTGTGTGTGAGTGTGTGTGTGTGTGTGTTAGCCTTTCTGCCATGGTTTCTGAGTCACGGATAGTTGCAAAGCATCAACGCGCGTAAAGCTCCTCTTCATCAGTATGCAATCAATGCTGATGGATGAGGAATGAAGCTATGAAGGTAGAAGGGAGAGATGGATGGACGTAGGCAAGCAACTGCCTAATAAAAGTATAGATTATAGACTGAGATTTTGTGTTATATCAGTAAGTCAAATATATGAGAAAACATGCTTTTGTATTATTTTAGACACGCAAAGGGAATTTCAAACCATTAACAAACCCACCACTACCCGGATTAATTGAGAGCTACCATGGAGCCCACCCTGTCACTTACCGGTGGTGTCTATATTTGGGAAAAACAAAAGTCCTTTTAGAGAAGCTTGATATATTTTTGATTTATTCAGGATGTGAAAGGGAATCAGGTAAACACATGTAATAAAATAAAAAAAGATAAAGATAGAATAGAAAGAAGATGAAGAAATAAGATAAAGAATCTATAGATTACAATAGTAAAAGTGAAGAAGCATATCATCATATGATTGAGACAGAAATTAAGGAAAAAATAATGAAAAATGTAAGGCCTGGAAGCGTCCTTCATTCAAATGAATTCATTTTCTTTTGTATAGCTCAAAATAATTATCCTCAGAGGGCTTTACAGTCTTTACACATAAGACTCGTGAAACCATCACATCGGCACAGTAAAAGCTCCACAAAAAGGAGACCTTCAACAGGGAAAAGAAAGGAAGAAACCTCAGGAGGAGACGAAAGTAGCGATGCGCATTAATGAGATGTGAATTCCTATAAAAGGTGAGAGAGAGGAGCTGGTTGTGTCCTAGGAAGTCCCCCAGTAGGCCTATGGTAGATCATCTAAGGGCTGGTCCGGGCTAACCTGAGCCAGCCCTAACTATAAGCCTTATCAAAGTGGAAAGCTGTACGCTTTGTGTTAAATGAGGTTACAACCTGTTTTTAGTTCAGCTTACATAATATCCAGAGGTGTTTCTAAGATTCTGCCCACTCATTTTAATAAATTGGATGGTCAACCAAATTATAGACAGTTATGGATATATTAGTTGAATTGGGTTATATAACCCTGGTGAGCCTTACATTGTGGCCAGCGGATGTCAGAAAACAAGGAATGATGAAAAACAAGAGAAGAGAAAGAGCGATGTTAGATAGAAAGAGATGAAAAGTTCCAAATCACTGTGGAAAGCTGATGCCAGCTGAGACCAGGAAACGCGCACGCACACACACACACACACACACACACACACACACACACACACACACACACACAGTGACAGGTAGGGGAGTGGAGGTCACTGTCGGGGGCCTCTTGTCACTGGGCAGTTTGGAATTGACACCTGACTGCTGTATGATGTCTCTCTCTTCATGAGTGTGTGTATTCTGTCAGTGTGAGTTAGATAGAAGCTGTCAATTCTGCTCTGATCCCCACTAACCCTCAGTCAAACAACATGCCACAGTATTAGCTGCACATGTGCAGCCCAGAGAGGTTCACATCAATCACATTCTTTGAGTCGTAACGCACTCCAACCAAAAAGAAGTTGTAGCTTTAGTTTTTTTTATCTTTCTTTGTGTTTTCCGTATCTCTGTCGGATATTTATTTCACAAGGCGAGCACTTTATCTATTGTTTTCCACAGACAGTACTCCTGGCACTACTTTAGGGCCCCTTCTGTTTTAGTTGAGTGATAGTTAATTAACTTAATTTGTGCCGTAGAGGGAGGCCCTACATACCGGGCAGACAGAATAGCACTGCCAAAGCGAAGCTTTCAGAGAACCAATCTAAAGGTCAACGGTGTCATTGTTCATTATTCTTCAGCCGTTATATTGGGCAATCAACATTGACTTCAAAATGATGTCAATGTAGGAAACTTGATAGTATGTAGAAAATGACATATTAGATAAGATGATGATACATACCCATTTCCAAAAAAGTTGTCTTTAATGCAGAAAAGGTACGATCCTTTTCTCGGAAACAAAGCTCACAGAGCAACACAAAGTCCTCTAGAATCAAACAATGCCAATCAGGATCAGGAATCAGGAATCATTTATTAGCCAAAATATGTCAAACATACAAGGAATTTGTCTTGGCCTCACATTTTGAAAGAAGCGGTTTCTGTTTCTTAATGCGTATTCAGCACATAGAAAGCACAAGTCAGCTCTTGCTTATCAAATTACTTGTCTAATTAAAAAAGAGAGCTCCAGACTAATATGATATGTGAGGACCAGCCTCCCCTTTAAAGTCACTGAAGATAAATAGTTTGAGCTTAAAATAACTATGTTGAATGATGGAGGAATTATTAGTCATCGGGCTTATCTTCTGACTTAAAGCATCTCTAACCCGTCTAGTGATTCATGTTCCATTATCTACTCCACACACAGATATGGGCGTTAAAACCAACAGCCATTGAAATCTTCATTGAATTATTCTACTTTCACAGAGAGACACTTTTCAGCATCAACCTTATGGACAGACGTTCGTTGAAACGTTTTTAAAAAATATTTTTGGAATGTCAAACTATATCTGAAGGCATAAATTATTGCTGCCAATGAAAGAAGTTGAAAAGAGCGAGACTTGTCATTTTCTCATCAGTAGATGGCTATTTGATGTGAATCGTATGTGTTGGATTGTGCGCATGCACGAGTGAGAGAGGGCTTAAGCATTGCCAGGGTGTTGTCATATCTGTATGTGTGTGTGTGTGTGTGTCCATGCACTGCCAGATTGCATGATACAGATCAGATACGTCAAGTAACACCTGTGTGCGGCTGTGGGTCTATTTTGTGGGTGTACGTGTATTTGTCTAGTTTAAGATAGTCATGTTCATCCCTCTGTATAAACAATACAAGGTAACTGAATTCATCCAGCTGTAGCATCACATTTACTGTGCAAGAAATCAGGTTCAAGTATTTCACAAATTATTCACTAAGAAAATAAAAGTACCCCCAAACTTTTGACTGATTTTTTAAATGTTTGTATAACATAGAATATTAAGTGAAAAAGGATTTCCCTGTGAGTTTGCAGTTAATGGGATTCAACAGGGGGGGGGGGGGGGGGACTGTGAACTGTTGTTAACCTTACCTCTTGCAGCCTTTACAGCAGCGCCGCCACAGTGACGTCTATGCATGAAACGGAATGTACAATTTGAATGTGGGTGTGTTGATGTCCAAAGACAAATACAATGAGGGGGTTGCATGTCTGTTGAACTGCTCTGCTCTGACAAATGTTGTTTTTTCCTCCCTTAACCCAATGTCTCTGAGATGTACAGCTGATGCTACTGTATGCACTGTTTCAAAGAGTTTAATGCCTGTTGATCCTAAGAGGTTTATCCTCAGCTAAGTCTTCATTTTCAACAAAGAAAAAAACCTTTTTTGCCTCTTTTTTCTTCTTTTTTTACAAGAGAACCTCTTTTCTTGCTCATCTACTTTCTTAAGTGAACCATCACACAGTAAAAACTTACTGTTAACATGTGAAGTGGACTTTGTGTCCACTGTTTACTGTCTTCATGTCATGTGACGATTCTTCCAGAGAAAGTCGCATTAGAAACATGAATTATTGACATAGTTTTCTTTTGAGAGCATCTTTTAAAAACTATATGTGTTCTTGATCACCTTGTTTTTGCTTCATCTTCTCCTTCTTGGTCCTATAGGTCCCCTTACAAAGAAACACACTGATGATTTAGGTGATAGTGACCGCACGGAAGACGAAGGTATTCCCCCCTCGACCCCCCCATGTCAAACTGATTTGCATGACAAGGGAAACCAAACCTTCCCTTCCTCGTCCAATTTTTATCTTCTTTGATTTTCTTACATTTCTTGTCTTTTTCTTGAAAGTGACGGACATTTTCTTTTTGCTCTTTACTGGTAAACCCTTTTTGGCCTCGATGTGTTTTGTCCTTTTCAGCTTGATGTTTAAAGTTTACACGTCTACCACCATTATTTATTGTTAATACTGTAACATTAATTTTCTGCTTGGATTTGCTTACTTTTTTTCTATGTTGCATCCCACCAACAGATGAAGTAACTATTAACCCTTCAGCCAGCTCTTAACACGTGTTTGCATGTTTTTCTCTTTTTTTAATTGGTGTAGTATTTGAGTCTGATCATCTCAAAAGATCCACTTCCGGCTAACTGGCTTGCGACTATGCTAAACATTTGGACCTGTTCACTTTTTGGGCGTCAAACCAACAAGCTTAGTATGTGAAACAGGATGAAAATACATCCTCAGTCTTGTAACTCTCCTGGCGTGATCTCACTTCCCCACCAGTATGTGAAGCTAACTGGATGGACAAATGCCTGCAGTGTCTGTGTCCAGTCCAAAGCTGCTACATGACTGGTTTGGTTGCTACACAAAATGTGGATATGACATATTAGGCAATAATAATAAAACGTCAGCATTTGTGTTAAGGCTGAGTGAAATGACTGCCGTTGAGGTGTCAAGTGACCATCTGGGCCCTCCACTCTCATGCTTTTGGGAAAACATACAATCCAAAGCGCATATACAAACTAAGGTTACATTGAATGGTAGTTGTGGAGGCCTCCTCATGTCGCCTCTGTTAATCTCATGCTTTCTTTATTCGAGGGCCATAAACATGTAGCAAAACCTGTAAAATCTTGCGAAATACATACGTAATATATATCACGCGTACACAAGGAGGTGGATGTATTAAAGTATATGATCCCACTCCTTCTCCTTGAATTATATGAGTATCCCAACGTTGCTCAGAGACACAAGTCCCCGACCACCAGCAACCACATAACTTTCAATATTACGTTCAAATTTTCAATAAACCACAACATGTTTCTTTCCTTTTGCACAATCGTCTGGTTAACCTTAAATAGTTATAGAAAAAGTCCATCCCTATAGGTGGAAGTCTTTCATTTAGAATTGTAATGAGAAGTAAAAACAGAAATGTGTTTTAAAATGAATGATGCTCCAAGCTGCCACCGTTTGCACTGTGACCAGCACCTTCACATGAGATCACGTTGGTGTGTTTCTCTCCAACTAAAACACATACTGTAAACCATTTAATACAATTAAAGGAAACATAAGCATTTACTGCACACTGTTGTTTTCTGCCATAGCATTTCATCCCAGGTGATTAGTGGGCATGTACTGGTGAACAAAAATACCAAAAGAATCCAGTGGATAGTCCCCAGACAGTAAATGCTGTTTGATGACCAAACCAGTGTGCTGGAAATCCATTAATCTCAATACTACAGAAAGATGCACCTATGGCAAAGTGCCATGAACGAGTCTTTAGAAAAGTCATATTAGGAAACACATTTCCTTGATAAAACCCTGAGATAGAGCTGTTTCTCCTCAAGGCATTTGGAGAGCGACTTTAAAGGCAGCCACAGTCTTAATAAGGCACCTCTACTGTATAATGTGAGCAAGTAAACAGCAATTACTTCCAAACAAGACTCACAACCATCCGCATCCCTTTGATCTGCACCATTATGCTGTTTTTCTGGGTTCTCCAAAAACACGCGCACACACACACACACACACACACACACACACACCAATAAGATTAGAAAGTCACACAGATCTATTCAATGCATCATAGCAAATATGATCTTAAAGAAGGACAACTAATCCAGTTTAATAGAGGAAAACATGCTCAAGGACACACACACACACACACACAGTCAGACTGCCCTATAATGGCTGTGATACTCTAAACCCTTGACCTCTTTTAGCCGTGGAGATGTAAACTGAATGAGGACATCCCCAACCTCCCGTCCCCTTTACAATCTCCTTATACTCAATAATCTGGTGTTTGTAATCCCTTTGGGTTGGGATAGTGATGTTAACAGGAATGTCCCCTAAAGCTGAGGATCTCTTTTTTTTTGCAGCAAATATTTCAAGTTAAGAGTGGGTGTACTGAAGTGTCAATGCTGTGAACTGTGCTAAGGCCCCTGTACCCTACAGAAAAGGTTAGATGGCAACACCTGTGAGATATGAATCTTCCCAACACTATGGATTTATTACTCTGGGTGTGGAGGGCACAGGGATATGGATTTTGTGAACAGGAGGAGAAACGTGGGCCGGAGGAGGACATGATAGAGAGAATGTTTTACCTTGGAGCATCCATCCCACACTCAGGCTGCAGTTGGGGGCAATTCTTGTGCAGCTCCACCTATTGAGGCTTGATGTAGCGGTTGTGTTCACATATGTTTATGTGAGTATATGAAACATTAATAAGGTCATAAACTGGCGTTCAACACTGGGCCTCTTTTGGTTTCCTGTTGCTTGGCTCCCTGCAGCAAGAGGCTGTTGCTTGGATAAGTGTCTAACGCAGCACGGGGAGAGGATACAGGAGTTGTTACAACAGCCCGAGGGCATCTCTCAGGGCTTACTCACTGAGCACCTGGATCTCTTTGATCAGAACCTCATCCAAGAGCAAGCAACGATCTACTCCATGTTGTCATGGTACCGTTCCTCTGACAATCTCTACTTCACACACACGTATCCCGGCAAACCCTGAATGGTGGAATCACTTCAGGATTGCATTTCATTATTGCGCTTCCCAAAGCAAGCTTTCATCTCGCTGCATGCTTGGGTACAAACGCTTGTAATTAAAAAAAAAAGGATTCATTTTAAGTCACTTCAAACTGAAAAAAACTAAAGAACATCACTATATTAAAAATGATTATGTCATCATCAGATGTTTACCTCACTTCCCTCAGCGGAATGGGGATTGATTGATATGTAAGGGGAACAGGAGAGTTTGCTTTAGATTTGTTTATTTGGCTCTAAATGTTGCTGTGGCAGCCGATGAAAGATGCCAGGAAACCATGCTGAGAGTAAGCTGGATTGTATAAACTGCCTGTAAAGTACATTTTTATAAACATTTCAGCCAGTCAATTGAAGTAAATCAACCAATTACTTAAACACTACGCAAACATCTAACCCTAAGGTCCCCTCATACCACTGACCTTCAGCCCGCTGCAGCAGAAATTCATTTATTCATGTAATCCCATAGAGAAAAGTCTGACACATCTTACAGATCTAACAAGAGTATTCAGATGGGATAAATGATCCCTATTTTCTTTAAGGACAAATACACCATTAAGGCATGAACAAAGTAGCCCTCCGCTCCTTTCCATCTTCGTCATTGTTTTCATGCTGTCACTATTGTTTGCATCAACTTCATTGTCACCACTGCTTGTTGCTTCAATCAACATCATCCTCAGTTTAATGATAGTTAATGGCTGCATGGCCGTCCTAATTGCTGACATCGTCATGACTTACGGCATTTTATACTACAGGTAGATGAAATCCAGCATTCTGATTGGTTGAGAGTGAGTCACGGGGTGTGCATAATTCAGCGATAATGTACAGTTGCTGTTCACATTGACCCAAACGTTCCACATCACCGCGCACTCAAAGTAACAGGTTAGATTTTGCGCGCCCGTATAGCTCTGTGGCGAAAAAAGACCGGAAACACCACAAATGATCGTTTTGGGGCCAATTAAGGTGGACGTCATGAGCGATGATATTTACGTGCACATATAGGGACTACTGGAATGAGATACACAACGTTTGCTGGCTAATACTATTTTGTGCGGAAAGGCAGCTATTTACTTACTATTCATAATTTAGCTGGTAACCGTAATATAAAAGCAATAAGGTACTTAGGCAGTACTTTATCTTCAATAATCTGACAACGAGTCCCAAACTGTTACTTTATTGGATGATAAATTCAGCCTCTCGTATCTTATTGCTTAAATAAACTTCGTTGTTAATATAATGGGTTGTCATTACCACCACCTTGTCAGCAGCAGCACCAGCAAGACTATCATCACCCTCCCCAACCAACCCGACCCGCCAAATACTGACTCCTGGTCAGTGTCTCCTACCTAACTCAAAGTAAACCTGTCTGCCCCGTTATTACAATGTAGAAACAGTAGTGCAAGGAAGCCAGATCAACATTGACTTATTTTACAAATGTTTTCAGTTTTGTAACATCCAGTCTTTACTCACAGTATTTACAAATAAAAACAGTTATTTCATGTCACAAATAGATGTATTTTAGCCCAAACTGTGACCTCTCCATAATTGTCACTACATTTTTGGCTGATCCATGATAGAGAGAGAGAAAGAGGCCCATTCAATTGCGCGTTTAAATTCTCGCAATATGCGGTATAGTGGGCGGGGAAAGGCGCTGGTCACCTGATGAACTGCAAGTTTCGTAAATACGGCTTAAACAGGAGAATCACAGTTTGCGCTTTCTGCCGGTTGGCCGTGACGCTGATACCGTACTGACCCCGGGAGCGAGACTCGAGTGTCATATTGAGGCGTAGGGCCACTCACCGAGCACCATTGATCGGTTGGGAGTGAGAAGGCGTGGCGTCATTATGGCGGCCACCAGCAGCATCATGGCTGCAACCATCAGCATCATGGCCATGCCATCAGAATCACCTTCAGCACAACTACTTCAGTCTTCACCAACATCATTGTCAAGGCTGTCATCTGCATCATCATCATCCTCGCCATCTCCCTCCGACATCATCATTGACATCAAACGCCTTCCATCCTCCCTGCTTCACACACTTCCGCACTGTGAACTACACACACACCCTGCTGCCAAAGTCCCCTGACCTTTTTCATGACTTTCTGGAAGTCTTCCAGAGGACAATTATGAAGTGATGTAATGATGGAGGGAAGGACAAACCCTTCAAACAAAGAGAAAAGATTTTTACCTAATTTTCATTCCACTCTAGATTCTCGTTTTCTTTTAGCCCATTTCCTCTTGCCAAATTGCTTTTTTCCTCTTGCTGTGTGTATTGCATATGCCGTTGGTAAGAAAGCATTTTTCTTTGGAGTTTTCCAATTTATAGGCACACTGTAACATTTAGTTCCTGCCTTCAGTTTTTGCTGCATAATTTTCAGTTTCCACAGAAATGTGTTTCTTTCACCTTTAATTATAATAGTGACAGTGAGTTGAGGGTAAACCCATAAAGTATTTTACTTATTATTATTTGAATAGTCTTCAAAAGTCCTCAAAAAATGGTTTTCCTGCTCGGCTAATTTCTAATTCGGCGTGGACGCTCTCCCAGGACCCGAGTCCCTCTGTGGTAAAACATCAGTTGGATAAACGGTGTGTGGATGCTTAGGACGCCAGATGAAAAGCCTTTTCTATGAGACGCAGCAGATGAAAGCCACAGCTTGGTTTGAACGTGGGTAGCAGCGTGCTGTTAGATCTCTGGATTCGGCCCCTATTCCCCGAAACCTCTACCTCATTTTCACAGCCGTGGTAACAGAAACCTACCTCCACTCATCCTCCGCTGTATGTTTTGTTTAGCAACTGTAATTACACTGGATTATATGATTTTTGGGAATGTTAGAGCAAAAGTGAATTAACATCCTCTTCTTTACATTAACAAAATACATTTTACTATTCAAAGAGACGTGTCCCATTCACTTGTTAGTGGTGTTTAATCCCCCCTTCTGCCAGTATGCTGTCACATACATTTATATTTATAAGTTCAGGCACATTCCCGACAGCTAAACAATTATGACGTAACAACCTGAATTTGAGTGGTTGAACGCTTTTATGCCATTTACATGATTTGACAGTTCAGATTGCCACTCTTGCATGTTGCCAGTCCATTGCCTGGACGAGAAAATATCCTGTTTCATTAACACCTATACAGTTTTAAAATTGGTTAATAAAAGAATGCAATATCCCAATGAACACAACCATGTCACAGCCTGCGTGTAGAAAAATGAGTGGTTTGACGCCTCAAACTAACAAGGTCTTTGTGTTCAAAAAGCCGGTGTGCCAAGATTAAGTTTTAAATTAACGAGGTGGCTAAAGCCCCCTTATGTATTGGAAGCTGTCACGTTCATTATGTCATCTAATCAGTCCTTCTGCCTTCTCCACCTCCTCCTCTTCCTCCTCCCTCCCCCAGACATTAGGGAGAGTGGAAGCCCCAAGCCGGTGATGGTTTTCATACACGGGGGCTCCTACATGGAAGGAACTGGGAATATGTTTGATGGCAGCATCCTGGCCAGCTATGGAAATGTGATTGTCATAACCGTCAACTACCGGCTGGGCATCTTAGGTAAGGATCCTTCTCTGCGTCGTGACACACAACCACTGTTTCCATGTTGGACCTCTGCTTTCTCTCTGGGTCCTTACTTTACTGCTGATCCCAGCAGCATGGGCCTACAAGGAATGCTTTTTTCTACTCTCTTTGGATCTGTTGGTCATTCCATGTGCTGTTGCTGTTATTTTTCAGTGACCTTAGCTTAGCATTAATGCTAATCTGGGTCTTTTCTTTCTTCCTCCTCTTGTTCCATACCCTTCATCATTGATATGTCCCATCTGCTGCTGCTGCTGCTGATATTTGAGAGAGCTAAGTTTAGTGTGATTCTCATTTTTTTACATCTGGATTTCATTTTGTTCACTCCTGTTGGTAACAGTTTCAATCTCGATTTTGTTGATTACGGTTAAGACACTTTTACTCAAAGTCTGGATTTAAATCATTTCGATTTAGGGCTGTGCCTCCTCACCCTATTGTGCTACAGTGTGAAGTTTGAGCTGTCAAAGTCAAAGTAGACACTTTTTTTCTCTTCACCATGTTTTCTCAACAGCAGTCAAGCACGTTGTCGTACAATACTGTCAAACCCGTTCACACCCATTTCATCTTTGAAAAGAAGCCCTTACAAGTATTCTAATGTCGAGTATGATTGACGTCCTAAAATCATGACGTTTTGATATCTATCTAACAAAGAAATGTAGTGGCGACAGACATCCTTCTCGTTTACTCAACATCAAAATGTTGAAATATCCTTTCGTTCTGTCCTGATACAAGTATAAAAGAGCACATGTACTGCAGACCTGGTTCCTTTTGATGCATCTATCCTCCCCTTCCCCTGTCTTGTACTATACCATGACACTGTCTCCTCTGATCTTAAGTCATTTTCCTCCTGATCTATCTTATCTTTTCTCGTCAGTCTCAGTCCTAATTCCTTCCCTGCAGTGTGAGTATGTCAAAGTCTTAGCCAGAGGGAAGGGATATATTACCACACATAACTGAAACAAAGGTTTGCCGCCTCCGTCCGAAATGAGATTGTGTCAATTCTTTATATGCAGGGAAATTATTCAATTTCCATGTTGTTTAGTTTTCGAGGCTTTTTCTTTTCATCTCATTAAACTTTACCGGGATAAAGATAAAGGGCAATATCCACCTTTCACTCACGTTGAATATTGTTTGTCTGGGGGGCAAGTACCTGTGTGTGTGTGTGTGTGTGTGTGTGTGTGTGTGTGTGTGTGAAGAATGAGCGTTCAGGCTTCACAGCAACTCTCAAGATTTTTATAGCAGGCAGAGAACATGACACACATGCTTGTCTTTGTTCCACAAGTGATACTGAACATACTGCTAAACTACAGAGACACACAAGTCACATCTACCAGCATTTCTCAAGTCCACAGTGTGTTCACATCATGGACCTCCTCTTGTGAGGCTCCTCTGTCCAAGGAGAGCCATTCGGGGTTCGCTGTGAAAATGGGTTTTTGACAACAATTTATCTCATAATTTAGTGCGGAAATGGGCTGCTATAGTTGTGTGAATGCATCACTCCGGCCAATCCAAAGACGGGGTTTGTAACCAATCAGGTGTAGAGACCATGGTGACAGGCTCCGCCCCCTTACTGTCAAAAAGAACAACAGCCAGCGCGTAGAAAACACCTTGCGCAAGACGGACTTTCGCTCGCGGATGTTTGATTTACGCGCGCGCATCAACCTGATTTGCACTCTCAAATGTTGAAAGTGATTTGCCGCCATATTCCTCCCACAGTCCAGAGACATGTTTGGGGGATCAGGTTGATTGGTGACTAAATTTCCCGTTGGTGTGTGGATGTGAATGGTTGTTTGTCTCTGTGTTACCCTGCGATTGGCTGGCGACCAGTCCAAGGTGTTCCAAGCCGCTTGGAGAACCCGCTGTGCTGACAGAATTCCCTCCTCTAGCGCTGGTGATTTTTTTCTCCCCGGCTTAGTGGGTGTCTGTGAGAATGAGCACTTGCAGGAAGTCATTAGTGGCTTTAAATATGCAGTGCCTCTGACTCAAAGCTGTATTTATTGTTTGAGGGCCTTGGCAGCGATAGATCTGGCCATATGCCACATGTATAGGAGGCTACTAGTATGTGTGTATGTGTGTGTATAATGACTTAGGAGTTTCTAATGGGGAAAATCCTTTTTAAGGTTTGTTTTATTTAGTTCTACTTAGTCTCATATCACCTGAATATCTAGGGAGACCAAAAGGTATTGTCTTTATATGTAAATGGACTGTACTTGTACAGCACTTTTCTAGTCTTCCAACCACTCAAAGCACCTTAACACTATATGACATCATTCACCCATTCATACACTGATGACAGGAGAACCATACACAGTGACACCTGCCCATCAGTAATTAACATTCACACACTACAGGAGCCATGTTGGGTTAAGTGTCTTGCCCAAGGACACATCGACACCGGAACTTGGGTATCCAAAGTTCTGTCCAATTAGCATAAGATAATACTGACTTTGGAACCACTGGAAACATGACGTCAATACTGAAGGGCCTCAACCTTGCAGTCCTTCTAGTGTCCACCAGGGGCGACTCCTGTGAATGTGAAGAAGTCTAGGAGAAAATGACTCCTTTTCACTTGATTAATTCCCTCAGTAAATGTTTCAATTCCTCTTCAATACAAAATGATGTTCGTGTATTACATCACGGTCCATTTAGAGTCAAACAGACCAGGTGTGATTTAGGGTGGGGCTACACGCTAATTGTCAGGTCTCTGCCGCGCTGTTGCCCTCTGGGAGTTGGCTGTGTTTTCATCCGAGAACTTCATCCCTTTCGCAGTGGGTTTTCACCTTCTTTTAGTTTGCATTATTTCATTTCTTTTTCAGGGATCGGTTTAAATAAGCAACTCCATCTATTGTCACTTATGGTTTCAAAAGAAAAGATGCAGATGACAATTTTGAACTTCATATTGTCACTGTAGTCCACAAACAAATGGATAAAAACACATATGACTACTTCCACTTCTTATCCACCCCTGCATGGGCTCACCTGTCAATCAGTGGATGGGCTCCAAGACCATGTGGACGTGTTCTGTGGCTACATCGTTGTTGGAATGTTAGTTAGGACTGTGGCTCTTCTGACTGATGGGCAGGTGTCACTGTGTATGACAGCTCCTGGTGTCAGTGTGTGAAAGGCTGAATGATGACATGTAGGGATAAAGATCTTTGAATGGTCAGAAGACCAGAAAAGAGAAACACAAGATAGAAGTACAGTCCTTTTACCATCAACTGTTTTGGCACTTTAATTGTAAATCCAAATAAGAACTGTTACTGCTACACCAAGCAACATAGTGGTTGGTTGCAACTGCCTATACACATGAAACCAGGGCATACACAGGACCTCTAAACAGCGGACTGTGCCTTTAAAGCCTGTACAGTGTTGAGTTTGCTTTGGCCCAGCCAAACGCTTTAATCATGCTGATTGATGAAGTGCATTTCCCTGACTCAAACCTTCTCCAAATACCCTTTCCATTCCAACCACTCATCAGCCATTCAGCCAATTCATCAAGCCTCTGATTGTTTTAAGATATACCTGGCCACTAAAATATCCATTCACTGCATGGGCACTGCTTTTCTAACTGGGCCCCACTGTCAGCGCCACACTCACATCCAAGCAAAGAAAAGACTAAACAGCCGAAACCATTGAGTCAAGCTAATAAGCTTAATAAACGTTACTAAAAGTCACTAAACATTAAAATTAATAGTATGTGAAGTTCTTGTAAATGTACTTTCGGATAGTATTACGATATTACGTTTACTTCAAAGGACAGCTAAACCACATTTAAAAAAGTAGATGGATAGATATTTTTTTTAAATCCCTAAAATATTTTGGAATTGTTTGAAACAACAAACAGGGTTCTGTATCTCAATTATGACTGTGTATGTTTGCTTGAGGAGCATTTCCTAAAACACTGGAAGTTCCCCTAATGTTCCCAAATATTCCTCTGTCTCGTACATCGTCTCTCCTTTTCTCCCTCTACATTCCTTGGGAAATCTCTTTCCGTTAGTTTTGGTCCTGCTGGCTAAATGCTGACGATTAGCATTGCTTATTAATTGATTCCTCCCTCAAACAAATACCCAAGTTTAGTTATATTATTCTTTCTGTGACTGCATCGGTTGCATCCTTCATTGCTAGTGGCCCTGACACATGCTTGTTCAGAAACCCATGGGCCGCGTCTGACTTAAGGCCGGCGCATGCTTCTGCGTCGTTGTGTCGACTTCATGGTCAGAATTCATGGTTGTAAAGTCTTGCGTGTGTTGCAGAGCGATTCACCTCCAGAACAACAGGCTGTTGTTGTGTTTTTGTGGAAGACGACCTGGAGAGTCACGTCTATTTATTTATTTGTTTATTTATGTATCATAGACTTTATTGCCCCGTGCATCCACACTGATGCTTTTCATCGCGGACACATTTGTCCCGTATTTTCCTCCACAACTTTGTTCCTCTCGACCAGCAAACCGGCGTTTGCGGCGATCTCCCTCCGTGAATCCAACCCGCTTCTACAACCCGCCAATACCGGCTTGTATACGCGCTCATATTTGCACATTTCCTCCGACAAAAGTTCTTAAATCTGCTCCGTTCTCTCGTAAACATTCTTCGTTTTAATAATGGCGGTGTCGGGCTGTGAAAACGGAAATGTGAGACTCCGTAAAGGACGTAGTCAGCAGACCAATCACAGCCTGGTGCGCTGCGGGAGGCTTGCGTTGCTTTCGACGCAAGCCTAGAAAACTGTCTCCACACACTCAAGGACGCAAGGAGGTGTGAAAAGCGACCAAGGGACACGCAAGGGGGGCTTGCGTCTGCGTCGCTCTGAAAACGCAGAAGCATAAATCAGGCTTAAGTGCTTCACTTTAATCTTGTTCTTCACACAAGTCTTTAATTCAGGCTAATGATTCCTTTCCCTCCAAACATCGGGATGTATTCTAACACTCTCTCTCTGTCTCTTTGTACTATTGTTGAGATCAGCTCTTGATGAAGTATAATATATA